ACTCCAGGTGTGAATCCCGGTGTCTCCATTCATCGAGACTTGTGTGACACGCATCTGGTTGTACCATGGAGCTAAATGGTTAAACCAACAATGTAAGCGTTTTGGTAATTGTAAACTCGCAACAATCTTGAGAGGACAAGAAAAAAAATAACTACAGCGAAGTCAGCAAACGGATGGAGTCTCACGAAGGTGTATAAAACACATCTTGAATGTGTGTCCACGCGCAGTCAATGTGAATGTCTTCACAGAATAGAGATAACAGTCCCATGACCTGATCGCCAAGTTGTGGCGCCAGTGTCTATAGGACAGAAACAGACAATGAATAATAAATAAATGCGTTTAGTCCGTGCGATTTGCGTCGATGTGCCAAGTCCAAGTGGGTCGTCGGTAGGATGACAGTAATATCAATGAAATAATGCATGTTTTTTTCCGTGGTTTAATGGAAACTTTAAAGCATTTAATAAGTGTGTGAGAATACACACTTGTTGACAGAAAGCACTTGTCGAATAAATACAATGGGGCGTGGGCGGCTTCAGTTGTTGAAAGAGAATAATTATCGACTGGATACAATAATGTTGTCACAAAATATGTAGGACCTTGATTGAATCACAGTCCCTCTATCCCCGGTCTGGAAACGACTAGCGTTCTTTTGTCTCAAACCGTAGTGCGGGTAAACAAACCGTTCACATGCAGGCCGAGGGAGTCAGGAAGTCAGACAGATTACAATACCTTCAAAAGTTACCGTCATGCAAAGCGATACCTCATTGTATGACTTCACTTTGACTTCAAATTCGGGCAACCACAACGTAAACAAACATGTAAACAAAATTATCACTATGAAATTTGGGTTTTTTGAACCCTGATATGCATCACCACCAGCCTACCAACTCATAAACATCCAGTTCCTGCAATAGAGGGACTGTGATTGAATACAATGACCGGCGAAAAATATATATTGAACGCAATGAAGCGTAATCAAGTCACCCACTGTCGTTGTTTAGAGTATGTCGCTTTTTGACGTTTTACTTCAAGTGTGTCAAAATAATATTCTTTGTTTATATACACTGTACTAATCGGGCTCTGGCAAAACAAAGCATTTCATTACAAAAAGGGCATACATAAAAAAACGCAATGTGGAACGATTGTTTCCCGTTGTGGTAGGTTCACTCCCAACAGCAAAATTATGTGTGATAAATATGCATGTATATAAATTGTATTCAAAAACACCTCGCGTTATTTTTACTGCAACAATTGGAGTTTAATGTTTATTCCTAAAGTTTGATGAGTCGTCAGTCACTTCATGCAAAATTTTGCAGGCGAAGCGCGGGCGGAGATTGACAGCACATCGCGTTTGTTGTTGTTGTGCTGTTTAGAATTAGCTTTTTTCAGCATTTAACCGATTGCCACTTTAACCTTTTGTGAAGGCGTCAACTGTTGACAAACAATAAAGACTCATAGTCATAGCGGCTTCATCAATAATATGCATGCTGGTCCAAGATAAAATGCCGTCGGTCTCGTCGTTTTGCGACCTCAGACCACAATGCGATTAATACCACACCAAGGGACTAACATGGGATCAGTTTTATCTGTTATATTTTCCCGAACATGACACCTACCTACGTTCTGAATGTGTAACAGGGCCGCCTTAAAATTGCATTCCAATGATTCGTCACTTTAACGCAAAATAAGAATGTTAGTGAGAACATGGATGTACTAACAAATATCACTGTTACTTAAAATCAGAGCATTGTATCGTCCGCTGTACATAAAACTCAAACAAAGGTCAATTTGATATTTCGAATGAACCGACGATATGACGCTGTTTACAGTGATTTTGTATTTTTCTCGGTTAAAAAACGGCGATTACGGGAACGAGAGTACAAGTCCGCTTTAAATCCTCGCAACAAGAAAATATGCCGCTAAGACATCGGAGGTGAGGACTTATTTTTATTATTCACACAGTTCTAGCGGCCCGACTCGCTCGCAGCTGCTACGTTTAGTCACCGTCCCTCAACACAGGAGGGACGGTAGTTTAGTGTACGTACCACACACGCACAAATAGCATCGTAGACATGCAGAAATTCATTTCAACACATGTACATGTAACTTGAAAACAAGTGGCTAGGACATCGGACTTAATTTTTTTTCACACAATGCCGATGTAGCTAGCACTCGCAACTACATACAAATCGCCACTAGCAACTGCTATTTTTAGCGCTAGCAACTGCCATTTTCGAGCGCTAGCAACTGCCACTTTCGAGCGCTCGCAACTGACACATTTTGCTACTTGCGACTCGCAACTCACCACTCGCAACTGACGTATTTATGCACCCTTACATACCTCAAACTTTGTATATACATTAGACATTATGGGCCCTTCATGCAAATAATTTTGTTTTTCAGATAAGATTCAAAATGGCCGGCTGAAGGCCATTTTGTTTTAATGAATGTGGTTCTCGTGCCATATCTCTGACTTGTTTTGACTGATTATGTTCAAATTTTAAATATTCATTATACATCATGTCATAGATAAACAGATATATTGGTTCGACGATCATATTCAAAATGGCCGAATGGTGGTCATTTTTGTGCTAAAAAATCATCAAATATCAAGCATTTCTGGCATTTATGGATGGATTTCAGTCAATCTTGGTACATACATTAGACATTACTGGTTCCTGATGCAGGTCATTTTATTTGTCAGATTGGATTCAAAATGACTGACTGGTGGCCATTTTGTTTTAATGATTGGGCTTCTAGAGCCATGTCTCTTAAATGCTTTGACTGATTATGTTCAAATTTTATATATTCGTTATAAATCATGTTATATATATACATGTATTCAAAATGGTTGATTTTAAATGCTGTTCCAGAGCAATATCTCTCAATATGGACAAGTACTTGTTTGACGATCAGATACAAATGTCAATCATTTTAATGTTAAAAAATCATATTTCTGACATGGTTATATTCCAGCTATATTACTATAAACAAAACTATATATCTTAAATTTGATAACTAATGGGGACTGTGCCATGCATGGCTTGTTTCATGTGAAATATCATTGCTGATAGAGTTCTGTAAACATCATTTGTCCAAAGTTTGTGGAGGAAAACAAATCCGACATTATTATAGCTGGATAGGATAGTTTAAAATTGAATGATTAATCACTTAGTGCAATGATATAATTATGATAAAGCCTTTTTTTGAGCGGAAATAGAAAACCATTGACAACAATAACTCAAAATGTTTGTCTGTTATAATTAGACAGTAGGTCTAATTAGCATAAATCAGTAGGCAATCATGAGACGAGGATAAAAAAGTTGTATATTGCTCCTGTTGCTTATTGGTGG